GGTCCCAACCCCTGCCCTCCGCCTTTGCTCGGGGCCAGGGCTCGCCGCCCGCTCCCAGGGACGGCGACAGCATAGCGGATGAGAGCTGCGGCTCCACGGGCCGGGGCGAGGGGAAACCAGAGCCATTAGCCTTACTAATAGAGGAAAGGAATAATAACTGGGGAAAAACGAGCAAAACAGGCGCAAACGTAGCGTCGTCAAGGCTGCAACGTCTGATACAAAATAGGTTCTCCTGGCAGCAAAACGTGCCCAAGGGGTGCTTATTGTTACATACGTTAAGATGTTCTTATTTGTGAAATTGGACGTGACCTTCAGTTACTATGTATTTTGAGTTACTGTGGATAAGTTCTACATCCCGTTTTTCTGAAACTGCAGCTGGACCATGATGTTAAATTTAGGTCTCATTTTAAGGATAAATTTACAAGAATATTTTCAAAATGATTTTTGAATAATTATGTAATGGTGAGGGTCAAACGAATATGTATTTTTAAAACTAATCTTGGATGATTTTTAAGTGCATGTGTTCTAACTTAAATGGCATGTAAAAACAGTTTATAAACTTAACTAAATTTTAAGAAGCCTTCAAAATAAAAAGTATCAGTATTTAATGATTTTATTAAGTGTTTATGCTCCTTTTATTAATTCAGGTTCTATAACCTCTCAATAGACCCTGAAGCAAACTATTCTTAAAATAAGTATTTTCTATAGAAGATATTCGTGTGGTGCTGTCATCTCTTTGAAACTAAATATAAACTATGGCATCATCACAAAATGGCTCATATTAGAAGGTACTTATGTAAAATGATTACTATTGTGTACAATAAATTCTTAACACTCAAAAATATGGAAAGTAATCATTAGCATTTATTTGTTTAAATTTCATAGTCATTACAGTCTAGTTATTTGTTTTTAAAGACTCCCTCTTGCTAAATAGTATGAAGGGCTTTGAAATAAACGTGGAAAACCTCAACTTTGGTCAACTTAGGTTTATTACCTACTCACTGTGCCATTTCATATGCCGTTTGCATTTCCCTTCTGGAATGTCTTTCCCGTCTCTCTTCCTGCCCCAACGTCTATCCTCCCACAGACATATTTGTTCCCTCCAGGTTGTGACCTCCTTTGAAGCTTTCTCTGTCATCCTCTTCCTCTGTGGTCTTGTATTCATAACTATAGAGCCTCTCACGTTCATTTGCAATGACTTTATTTTGTTAAAAAAAAAATTCAACCAATTTAAAGATCTAATTTGCTTTATGAAGCGTTTCATGAACGAGGCAGCACCCCATCTAGCAACTAGAAGGGAGCTCCGAGTAGTACAAAATGGAAGGTTTTATAATAAGGCAGAAAGAAGGTGGGACTAAGAAGAGTGGATTATTTCAGATAACACCATCCCTAGGGGAAGGCAGAGAGTCTTATCATGCATGTCATCTGACTACTACTGTTCGTCAGAAAAATTCCAGACTGATGGGTTTAAATTTTCACTACTGGGAAAGGCTGAAACTTCAGTTAAGTTAGTTGTTAAGTCTTGGTTTGGTTACATAGCTTAACAAAAGTGATTCCATTTAGGTCTGTTGTGCTTGTTCGTTTGCTTAATAGATTATTAATTTGTTTCCTTCTACCAAACTAAGATCTTGAGGACAGGAAGTGCTTTATTTGTCCATATATCCTCAGTGCCTAGAATAACTTCTCAATTTTTATGTGTGAAATAATACATACTTTAAAAATTAAAACAGGAGTTAGTCTTACCAATGATTTGAGATTATTACTATTTAGATTATCCCAAACCACATTAATCTCTACTTCTTTGAACTCCAACAGCATATTTAAGACAATACTGTGTCTAAGTTTGAATGAGTGAAAAAAATACTTAATTTATGTTAATTAACTCCTCACCCCCGATTAGGTTTAAAGACAAGAGCCTAACCTTATGCACTTTTTATATACCCACAGTACCTAGCCTAATTTAGGGCACATATTAGGAGCTTAATTTATACTTTTCAATTGATTAACTAACTAATTAGACATAAAAGTAATTATTCTGGAAAACTTTCCACAAAGTGAAAAAAAAAAACGGTCATCCGAATGACAAAATAAAGGCCCACGATGCCAAAGAGTAATTGTCTGCATTATGATACTTGACCCAACTTTCCACTTTTCATTGGTTGTAGAAACCTGACCTCAGTTATATTACACTTTCACCTCTTTTTAAATTTTATTAGCTTGCCTAGGACAATGGCGAACTAACTCCAACCATTTTCTTAAAATATATTTTGTTTCTGAACTATAGATTGACTTTATAATATCATATACTGCTAAAGGATTCTTTCACTTAAGAATCTCGGTGATTTTGTCAAAAACTCACAATTGGAAAAGTATTTTTGATCTCATTCGTAGATACTATATCACCTTAGGGCTAAATCAGAAAAGCAAGGGCATAGTTTTAGACAATGACGCTTATTTGATTGATTATTCAGAGGGGCCAGATGGATGTGAGCAAGTTATGTTCTTTTGTATGTTTGACTATATTGTGAGTTAAATCTCTTCACATAGGTGTCAGATCCATGCCCATGAGAGACACAGAACTTGTTTCTTCCAAATACAACTGATCGAGTTACCTGAGATATGGGTGAAGTAGAAAGGGTAAGTGGTGTGAATAATAATGCAAAATGATAGTCAAAAAAGTCTTGTTTACTTTCCTACTATGGAAATCATTGAAATCTCCTTGGACCAGAAATAAATGAAAAACTGGATTTTCTTCATTCATTGTCATGTACTGACCTCGTGACCCTAGGCAAGTCATTTTATCTCTTTAAAACTTAGTTAACTCAAAAAAAAAAAAAAAAGTAGACATAGCAATATCCAAACCACCAAACTTAGAGTTTGTCCAACGTCCAAACTTAGAATTTTCATGAGACTCAACAGATTGGAAAGTTTAAAGAACCCACAAGGAAATCCACTCTCCTTAAGTGAAATAAACCCCCACTTCCACATAGGAAGGAGTACTTAGAGGTCACACCCCAATTTCTTTCCTGAGAAACAGATTCCACGTGGAGAGTTTGCTTTTCCAACGCTTCAGCTACACAGTGGTCTGAGTCCAGGCTTCCCACTTCACTGCTAGAATCTGCTGCCTGCATGATGCAATCCAGTTTACACAAAGAGCTCACCATCTTCAGTTTGTGTCCCCTTCCTGGTTTCCACCTCGCCATTTTTAAACCTAACCAAGCAGGAGACCTTAAGCAAATCTAGATTTCTTGAGCTCTAGACCCAGTAAAAGAATAAGGAGGAAATTATATTTTTGGTCTAGCTCCAGTTTCCTAACTAAAGGTACATCTGGGGTACATCCAGGATAATTAACATCAAGACTGTCCAGCCCTTGAAGGAAGACACTATGCCTACCCTGTGATCTCTAAAGGAAAACCTTATCAGAACACAACAGAAAAAAACGGTTCGATTTCACTACAGTTATAATAATAAAAGTAACCCTTCTTAGTTCTTTGTATACGTTACCTCTTTGAATTCTTAGAAGGCCGATACTAGTAACCGCTTTTAATGCTGTATCTCTTCTTTGTAAATGTAAGATAACATTGTTCTATCCTATTGAGTGAACTGAATATTGCTAGAAGAATGTTAAGGACAAAAAATTCTGGGCAGAATTAGTCACCTTCCCCAGCTAATTTGTTTACCTCTCCAAAACAACTGGCAGAGAGACTCTCAGGGACTTTAAGGGAACAAGATAATGGCAAACACGTTGTCCTTGTCTGACCAGAGTTAGAAGCTTGGCTTTTGGAGGGCACAAGAGGAGGCAAAACTCGCTCGTCTACCAGGCCCAGTGGTCTGCTCACCTTCTTCTTTTTCCTTCCCACCTTCCTGCACTTTGAGGCTCAGGCCTCTCGTAATGGGGGGCAGTCGTGTTAAGTTCTTGGCCCGGACGAGAGCATTGTCAGGGCCAGAGCTGCTCTGGGCTTTTCCGGGAGACCCAGAGCAGGAAGCTAGAACTGCAGCACTGTGGGCAGCTTGCAAGTAAATCTTACGTGAAACCACAAGTCTTAAAAGCATTTGGAAAAATCACACTCCTGGCCCTATTTCTCTCGAAAACACGTTTCTGTTTCCCTTAAAAACACATATCGCCACAGCAAAGTCACTGTTTAGTTCATTACTTAAACATGTCTTGTTCTAAGGAGCACTTTTCAGGGACACTCATTGCTAAGCAGCTTTTGGTGAGTCTGTTCTTTATTCACTGAAAAGGTGAAAGGTGGAGGCTGACCCAGAGAGTCAAAGAATGTTTACGATTCCTTGTGTAACCTCTTCCTCCTTAAGTGAGGAAAAAGAGGAAAAAGTGTAGAATTATGCCGGCAATTGGCTTTGGAATGATTTTTTAGTTCCAGCTCCGAAAAGAAATCTATGAAGTTAAGTGTCATTTATGTTAACATTTACATAAGGAGATAATGCCATATAGACGAATCCAACAAATAGTCTTAGGAGATAAAGGGACCCAGGATTGAACCTTGGTCCACTGCTCATTAGCAATATGACTTTGGACATGTTATTGCTTCCCTGTAACCTCAGTTTCCCCATCCGAGGTTCCATGGAGTTAAAGAGATGATTGGCCAGTTGGGACATGGAAGCAACCTGTACTTCTCCCTTCCGGCCTGATTTAATTTCTTTGGACTATGGCTGTGTGACTTTCTAACAGCTCTAGCACCAATAGTGATACTATTCGGAGCATTTCCCATGTTCTAAGAACGATGCCCAGCGTTTCACATGGACTACCTTACTTCATCATCTAGAATCCTAGAAAAAGGATACGGTATGATGCCCATATTGAAGATGAAGAAACCAAGAGTTAGCATCCTCAAAATTCTTCTCTGAGAGGAAAGGTGGCTTTTCTCTTTTTAGCCCTAAAGCCTCTCCTGAAGTTCTGCTTCAGAATCTTATTCTGGATTTTCCATTTCCTCTCTGTATCAAGCCCCAGGGGCTTGGCAGGCCCTCCTCACTCTGGAGGGAGGCCTTGTGCATCCAATGGGCTGAGGAAGGAGACCGTGAAGGGGGCTGGAACATCGCAGATTCTGGCTCCACCTTCCTTTCTACCCTTGAATGCAACCATGTGGGCATTTAATAAACTGTAAGGGTTTCACCGCCGACTTAAAGGAGAAGAAAATTAACAAATGGAGATGTTCTAAACACCCCGGAATCTTAGAAAATTTTTACAGAGGTTGTTCCTGATTCATAAAGTTCTTGACTCTCTCTAAGATGGTAAGAGAACGTGCCTGGCACATGTGGCTCTTCTGTTCCAATGCTGCTAGTACTACCAATAATTTTCCTTCCCAGAGTTTACACAGATTAATGATGGTCCATGTGGCTCTTACGGGGCAAAAGAAAAATCACCTCGGGGTTAAATAAATAGTTACAGGTATGTTATATATGGATTTTTAAATTGCTATCTATAATCACCAGATACTGAAAAGTAAATTTGTGTTATAGACAATTCCAACACCATTTGCAGCTTTGGAATTGAGCGGAAAATGACTCGGTGTTCTCCTCACCTTGACATTGTTGGCCTGACTCGTGATCATGTCCATTTACACTTAATAAAATGCCTGTGAATAACAGTAAGCTGAGACTAAATATTCATGTGACTTGGAAGCTAGCTCCTTGATATTAAGAAAGTTCCACATTACCCAGTAACTGCCCAGTAACAGGGATCTGTAACTCCTCCCCCAACAGAGAACTCACCAAGCAAACAACACAAACATACAGAGATAAAAATCTTCGCAGGTTTTGCTGGGGGTTTTGTTATATATATATATTTTTTCAGGTCAGCTATATTTTCAAGGGAAGGGAAGGTGTGAGACTGGGAGTGAATAGCGGTGACAGGGAAGAGAGGTTAGAAAGGAAGTTATTTTTAGGAAGGCTTGGATGGGAAGGGAGAGTCAGTCATGCACGGGGAATGGGGGTGCGGTGCGGGAGGCGAGGCCAAGCTGGCTAACTGGGGAAGAGTTTCACTAGTTCTCTAGTCTCTCTCATTTCTTCTTACATATTCAGAATCATTCCTCACCAATGCAAAAAAGCGAAGGTAGCTGCAGACCCCTGGGGGGCTCTGGGGGAGGGGTCTCGTTCCTTGTAGCCTCCTTCTCCATCCTTGGAGGAAGAACATTCACTCAGTATTCAGAAAATATTGATGAAGTATGTATGAAGTATGTATGAAGGACAGTCTGTTAGGCACAACAGGGAGTCCGCACACATGATAGCTGATAGCTGTTCTCTATTTGCTAAGATATTTTTAGAGCTGGTAGTTTAAAGCCAGCAGGGTTTTTTTGTTTTTTTGTTTTGTTGTTGTTGTTCCAAAGTTTACTAAATTATTGACCCACAAAAATGAAAAAAACTCACCCACCAAAGCTACTTTCTCCTTCAAATGGTGTCTGCGTACTATACCCTCACCATAGCCACAGCACGCCCAACAAGAGTTTGTGTCTACAATATATGATGGATTATCAGTTATCCAGAACACCAGAGTAGTATGTCATTAGAGCAGAGCGTATCCTTCTCCAGCAGGTAAGTGGGCGGTTCTACTTGTCTGTAAGGAGCAAGGGATTGCATATTTCAATATTTTACCTAAATCTATTCACTAAGTGTTTTTTTTTTTTTTGATGCCTCGAGTAGGCCTCAAAGCCTTTTAAGACCTTCAAGCAGACTATGAACTAGAAATTTAGTGCTCATTATAGCTAATCTCTTAGGGGAGAGGGCCATATTGTATTTGTCCTAACAATACAACAGTGTTTCTCATGGGGAGGGAAAAAAAAAGGTATAACCAAGAATTGAATGATTACTTTTTAAATTAATGCCCACAGACACAATACCCCACAATGATCTTCAATAACTATGCCTAGACAGAACGAAAGCTTATGTGTATCTTCTTTTGAATTCCCTTCTCTTTAAAATGTGAGTGCTCCAAAGATTGTGACCCTGTGTTTCTTTATATTATTTTTAAAAGAATGATCGATTTAACAATGAACAATATGATAGGAGAGCCAGGGCCCTGGAATCCTGAATTTTATGTCTATTTTTGCTTGGATGTTATCTAGAAATATCTTTTACCAGAATTTATTAGATCGATATGTCTCCATTTCTTTAAAATGGGTGAAACGTTTTTACCACTTGATAATGTTTACACTTTGAAATCTTAGAATGATAATTATGATCTTTTCCATTAAGTATTACTTACCTAGTAACAATAGAAATTGAATTTGAGGATCAAACATGTTAAATAGGATCATTATCTTTGTAATGTCAAAGGTAAGTTTCATATCCAATCCATGCTCTGTACATCTACACACCACCCAAGTCTATTGTACTCTCGTCTCCATCCAGCTTTGTGCTATCCTGACAAGTAACGCTTCTTCGTAATCCATAGCCAAACGCTGCTATTAAAACAAGATATCTGCCAGATGGAATCCAAGTTTTAAACAGGACTATGCCTCAATAGCATTTTTATTTTTATTAATAGACTATTTTTAGAGCAGTTCGATATTTACAGAAAAATTAAGCAAAAATTATTCCCATAAACCTCTTTCCAGCTCCCCCCAACACACAGCTTCCCCTGTTATTGACATCTTACATTAATGTAATCCTATTCTTTTTATTTTATTATATTTAAATAATTGGAGACAGCTTTTGCTTTCGCAAGTAAGAAAATAAATATTCTAGTGATCTTAAGCAGTTGGCTCTATTAGCTACTGACAGAAAGACTTAGACACCATTTACAACCAGACAAAAATTCTTTTATTTGGTAGGAATTCTCATATTTAAATAGCTCTTCCACTGTCAGGGGCATATTTTGCAACCAAACATGGTAAAGAAAACACTCAACTATAGACCAAAGTTGTACCCCTAACTCTTACCCGCTGTGGAATTCTGGGTTGGATTAGAAAAAAGAAGCCTTTCAAATCCAAAATTTCACTGATTTATTAATCCCTTGTTCCCAAAGTGAGCAAGAAACTATTTTAGGGGGGGGTCATGATTTTTCTTTTTTATTTAGAGTTCTGTTTTTAGTTTTATTTTAATATGTATTTTTTAAAAATTAGTAACTCACATCTATGACTTCACAAATATCATTGCTTAAGATGAGATTAATTTCTAAAAATAAGTTGATTTATGTCAAATTAGGGAAAATATTAAGTATCTAATTGTGCAAGTCACATGGATATGACAAAAACCAGAAGTAAAGGGTAACTGGATAAAGTTTGGAAAACACTGCATTAATTAATGTACTAATCCATTCAAGAAATTGTGCCAAACAGCTGTCTCCCAGAGCTCTTCTTTTTAATCTATATTTCCTAAATAACTTGGCTCAATTAATGAACAGGTATACCCTAGAATTTACAGGGAGAAGACAGTACAATAAGACAAATATTATATTTGAGGCATGCCCAGAGGTTAGGGTGCACAGAACAAGAACAATTAAATATAATTCCCAAATACCTTCAATTTATGAGTAAAGAGAAAGGATGATTAAACCCACCTTAAAGTCTTCCAGGCTATAACAATTTCCTCATATTACACGGCATGGAACTTGACATCTTATCCTAGTGTTTGAGTTAATTCAAAACTCTTTCTCAAGTAAAATGCTGTCATGATTGTGCTGGCAAGCAACCCCATTCCCCATGGGACCAAGTGACCTGGCCTTCCATTTGGGAGGAGAGGTGACATTTGACTCTCGTTTTTACATAAGATTTCCTTCCCTCACGTCAAGTATCTAACCCATGTGCCTCTTTCTTTAATCCACATGTGTAACATACAAGGTCAAAAAGAATAATGCGTCTTATTCGTTTTTGTTTCCATATACCTTTGCCCAACGCCTGAAACAGTGTTGAACCAAAAACTGAGGTAAGTTAGTTATGAATAAACCATGATCCAGTTCTGCTACAAATGAGGTTTCTTCCAAAGGCACCTCACTTGAACAATTATTTCTGCGGCGTGCAAAGCTGCCATTGAAGATACCTGCTATTCCACACAATGTCCTGTGTTCAAAGGTTCATTTAATAAACTCCTATTTAAGTTTGGATAGTCTTTATTGATGGTTTATTGTTTCTTTGCCAGAAAGTAAAACCATTTTTTTCTTTGTTCTCAGGAAAAAATCAGTTCTCCATGATAGTAATCTGCTTATCCCAGATACTTAGTGATATCTATTGCCTCTGTTACTTTTATAAAATGATAATAGCTAATATTTAGAATCCTGCGGTGCTAGGCCCATAGCTAGCATCTGTGACTTTAGCACAATGATTCTATGAGATTTGCTGTGATTATTCCCACTTGACGTTTTAAGAAACTGCGACCTGGAGAAGTAGAATCCTTTGTCCACAGTTAAAATCGACCAAACTGAATTATGAACTTGGGTAGCCTCTCCTATGTCTTTTTGTCCCTAATTCTTCTATTTTGCTCATGTTTTACAATTAAACCTCTTGCAAACTTTATTTTAAGGTGAAAGGTTATTGCTCCTCAATTTATAAATCGATTTTATGGTGAGTCCTTCTGTAAGTTTTTTAAAAATCTTTTATATGTTACCCCCAAAAGTTATTCTTCAAATGTATTTGTTTTTACGTTTGTATTTTTACAGAAAATTTCACTTGATGTGATGAGCCATTACTTCAAGTTATAATACGACCCATCTGTCGTTCTCTTCTTTGTGTTCACGGAATAAGATTATGTGATTTAAGGACACAGATTTCATGGCCACCTCCCTAAGTAATTATGCCCACAGCTGGAGCATCTTAGCAACTGAGAGAAAACTAAGTCTGTGCTCTAGACAACATTTTTAAAGTAGAGGACTAAAGAAGCAGCTAATCTCCATCCCTTCCCCCTGAACGCCACCGTAGTTCTGGGGACTGAGTTCTTGGCACAGTGATGGAAGTTTTTATCTGGCATACCAGCTCCCAGGGTTTCAAATGACAGAAGGACAGAGTGTTAACCCAACTTTCTAAGTCTGCCACTGTAAATTTAGCACACGCATTGGGAATAGTTATGAATGTAGCTTCTGTTCCCTACCCTTTCTAGTTATCTACCGTCTAGCCATGTGTGTTTCAGCACCCCAAACATTTTAAACATCATTCTCTCTCCTCCACCTAAAGATTTGAAGGAAATGCATATTGTTGTAGTATATCTAGTATGTGTTAATAAGTACTGAAGCCTCAAAATCAATACGTTTCTAAATGGTGCTATTGCAGACAAATAAATAAAACAATGTCATTCTAGATTATTTATTTGCATGTGTATATATGCACGTATATATGTGTTTTCTGCTGCAGAGAAGGGATAGGCAGAATCTGAAATGGAGGTGAATGATTTTATACAAATGCCTAAACAGTTTATGCATGCTCTTCTTTTTCTGTTGCAAGCCCTGTCATTGCTTTCCATGACTTGGTATCTTAGATTGAATTTCTGCCCTTGCTATGTTTAGAATCTATTTTTGATTTGGCCAACTGACTTACTATGAAACCATGTAGAGTGTTGCTATTTTAAAAAATATAATAGTTGTCCCCATTTAGTCCTATAGAAGGTCTTTGTGTGCCTATCCCGTGCCCCT